ACACAAAACCCCAAATACATCAACACATGAGATACAATTTGTATACAATGTGATTACAAGCTCAGATAGAAAATCTCTCTCTCTCTCTCTCTCTCTCTCTCTCTCTCTCTCTCTCTCTCTCTCTCTCTCTCTCTCTCTCTCTCTCTCTCTCTCTCTCTCTCTCTCTCTCTCTCTCTCTCTCTCTCTCTCTCTCTCTCTCTTGAGGAAATACTTTGTATATACTTTTAATATCTTTTTATCTTTGCAAGCTGAGAGCTAGGTACTGGAGGTCTTTCGATGACACAAAAATAAATGTAGGAATTTCACAATTGTACAATTGTACTTTTTCTGTCTTTCTACCCTCCCGGAGATCTAAAAACTAAATATCATCTGTTTAATAGTGTTATCCAAGTGATAACATACAATTATGAAGCAAAACTGTATTACATGAAAAACGATTAGTTTAGGTTAAATCAGGAAGAAGCCATTCAACAATTTATGCAACTACACTTTAAAATTTTCCAATGACAATTCAGTGGATATATAAAAAGCACAACCTGATATAAAATTTTGGCAAAATATTGGTAAAACATGGGCGGTATGGATGGCAAAATATTAGTAAAACATGGGCGGTATGGATGGCAAAATATTGGTAAAACATGGGAGATCCTGATAGCAAAACATTACTAAAACATGGGCGATATTGATGGCAAAACATTACTAAAATGTTGTTGTTCGTCCGTCGAGTCGACGAAGACTACCCATTGAGTTGGAGGGGCTGGTTCTGTTGGCTTTATCATCCACCTGTGCACACACAGTATTACTAAAATATGGGCCTTATGGATGACAAGACAAGCAAAAGCTGGATATTATTCAACGAGTTTAATATTCATTACCCATCTGAGATTATGTTTATCACGTTGTTGTTATATTAATAGGAATAATATAGAGAGAAGGAAGAATAAATGTTCTCTTGCATAAATGGCTCAGACATTGCACCTTTCATTTAATAAGCGTAAAAGAATAGTCCCAGCCGCTAGTTTGAATTAATAATGAGCACGTCTATGGCCAGTAACATTTCAAAGTATTTAAAAGGCAAATCTCTCTCCAAATCAACATAACAATTGACACAGCATCATTTTTCAAAACTGGATCTCTCATGGAAGTTCCCAAGTAATATCAAACAGATGCCTAGTTATTCAAGCTATATACATTGATTTAAAATGAAAATGTTTACAATGTTTTAGTTTTGTGTGCTAAAAATGAAAATGTTTACAATGTTTCAGTAGTGTGTGCTAAAAATGAAAATGTTTACAATGTTTCAGTGGTGTGTGCTAAAACTGAAAATGTTTACAATGTTTCAGTGGTGTGTGCTAAAACTGAAAATGTTTACAATGTTTCAGTGGTGTGTGCTAAAAATGAAAATGTTTACAATGTTTTAGTGGTGTGTGCTAAAAATGAAAATGTTTACAATGTTTCAGTGGTGTGTGCTAAAAATGAAAATTTTTACAATGTTTCAATGTTTCAGTGGTGTGTGCTAAAAATGAAAATGTTTACAATGTTTCAGGGGTGTGTGCTAAAAATGAAAATGTTTACAATGTTTCAGTGGTGTGTGCTAAAAATGAAAATGTTTACAATGTTTTAGTGGTGTGTGCTAAAAATGAAAATGTTTACAATGTTTCAGTGGTGTGTGCTAAAAATGAAAATGTTTACAATGTTTCAGTGGTGTGTGCTAAAAATGAAAATTTTTACAATGTTTCAATGTTTCAGTGGTGTGTGCTAAAAATGAAAATGTTTACAATGTTTCAGTAGTGTGTGCTAAAAATTAAAATGTTTACAATGTTTCAGTAGTGTGTGCTAAAAATGAAAATGTTTACAATGTTTTAGTGGTGTGTGCTAAAAATGAAAATGTTTACAATGTTTCAGTGGTGTGTGCTAAAAATGAAAATGTTTACAATGTTTCAGTGGTGTGTGCTAAAAATGAAAATTTTTACAATGTTTCAATGTTTCAGTGGTGTGTGCTAAAAATTAAAATGTTTACAATGTTTCAGTGGTGTGCGCTAAAAATGAAAATGTTTACAATGTTTCAGTAGTGTGCGCTAAAAATGAAAATGTTTACAATGTTTCAGTGGTGTGTGCTAAAGGCAAACGTCTTTATGAAAACCAAAAAGACGTTCAAGATTATATCATCAACACAGGCCACAGTCATCGCCGAGTAATCCTTTGGTTAGCCACACACTCTCCCACCGACCACTTGGTAGACTATTTACATTCACAAGAATTGGCTCCACTGAAAAAAAATATGCACTCAATTCAGAAACGTCAAATTGCAAGTATCGGATTATTCTATGCATGGAGTATACTGTGTGTAATTTCTTTGATAACGCTGTGTTGTAGTCCCATTTTTTAAAACTTGTACTGTCTTTTTTGGACGAAATTTATCAAGAAATGATGAAAACTTAGAAGGTCTCGTGAACTTTATGGCTATCTATTTTCTTCAGCACAAAAACACAGTTTATCAATGACCAAATGATACACCATGAGGTGTAGTCTTGCTACACAATATTTTCATGTTTATAAATGCGCACATTAAATTTTGTATTGTTTGGTGTGTTTTATTTGCACATGAAGAGAAATTGACGAGCCATAATCCACTCTCCTCGTTCTTTGCTTATGCTTGAGTTAAGGGACTTATCAAAATAAGTGTCCAGTTAGATAATGAAAATGGCGTTGACTAGAATTTTAAAACAAAGCTATTTTTTAGACATTCTCTCTCTCTCTCTCTCTCTCTCTCTCTCTCTCTCTCTCTCTCTCTCTCTCTCTCTCTCTCTCTCTCTCTCTCTCTCTCATTTTCTAAGAATGATGTTTTTACGACTGCATCTACACTTTCTTCAACGTCCGTGCTTTAAGTATATACAGTGATCTTGCCATTCAGACCATAGACCGAGACTCGTATATCCAGTCACCTTCCCGGACATCTGATTAGGACATCCCCACCCCTACCAACATATTACAGTGGTGTACTGATAACATGAATCATGAGAATATAACTTGTGAGGCGAAACCTGATACACTGCTACACTGCCATCGATCTAGAAACTGCATCTGTCGTTGTTTGTAACAGTCTTCACGGGGAGAGGAGGAGACGGCAACACAACAAACAGAAAAGGAAATAAAAGAGGTTGAAGAAAGAAGTAAAGTACATCGCCTAGAGATCACTTTAAAACAGGAAGCGAAGACCTCAACAGTGGCACTTCGGGTTTGGCATTTTCATCCAATTCTACCGGACAACATTTCAAGACCATTCTCTGTCCAATCTAGATCAGGCAGCGGAAAAGCTGACTGAAATACATGGGTTTGAGGCATTCCCAGAGCGGCTGCTCGAAGAGTCTCGGTGTGCGGCGGAATGGTGAGGACATCCGCAAGACATTCAATATTCCGATTAAACACCCTTTGGAAGGGCTAATAATCAAAATACTTCAAAATATCTTGGTTTTCAGATTGGCTTGAAAATCCATTTCATGATGCTGATCATGTATAAATATGATCTATTGGCTATATTTCAAGGGTCGACCACGATTGCAAAAAATTAATATGGGTCACTAAGACCCTACAATTTGATTGATATTTTCGGAAATAAACTCTGTACATGAAATTTTAAAAGTTCTATACACAGTACATTTAGAACTAATAAGCATTACTTAAAATAAAATAGGCAGCTTCACTGAAGAAATAAATTACCTTCTGGCGTTTCGGTAAGTTCCAATTGACGTTTAGACTTTTCCACCCCTCCCTTGCCCGGACAGTTTTATGCCTGCAGTGTGAATTACACACAAAGAAAAACACACGACCCGTGCTTTAATATACACTGGATTGGGAGTAATCGGTTGGTCATTACTTACACGAGACAATTGATTGTAAGTAGATTTTAATCTTCGATGAGCACGCGTTGCGTGCCGAGTAGGGGTAGATGGCTTGGGAATAGCTTTATTCCCTCCCATTCAGTAATCAAGATAAAATGACTAACACTGTTAAGTTCGGAAAATGAATGAATCTATTGGCTTGCTGCAGAGAGTTTAACATATAATGATGCCTGTGGAGGAAGTGAGGTAGAATCCAAACAAACATCACATGAAGAGGGAAATGGTAGACTACAGAATAGCGAAGGGACTCATCAGAGAAGTTTGAGAGGTGGATACAATGAAGATAAAGAGTAAGGGGAAGAGGAGAACATGGAGCAGACGCTTGCAAGGAGGGAGAAGGAGATTCCTACCCCAATTGTGCTTTTGTCCTGGATATCAATAGCAACGGCGATCCGGGACAACAACCAGAGGTCCATTTAAGAGCTACCAAAGTCTCTTTGAAAAGATATGCTATTGAATCATTACAGATCTATGACTTATGCTTGTTTTTCTTTGTAAATATCTTTTTACAACTCACAACTAACTCGTATCCCAGTGTAATATTATGTTTATGTATGTTTACGAAAGTATATAAGTATTTTGCGAGAAAAGTGTCTCTATTCCTACCCTCTGCATTGGTTAGTAAGTGGGTGGTATTGATTACTCCAACGACATGGAGATAATAAATGCAACATGTTGGATATTAGATAACTATGTAGTAGTTACTATAACTGGGTGTTTAATAGGGTATTCGAGGTATATGTTTTTAATAGTAATTAAGTGTATGGTGTTGGATAGTTAGTGTAGGGTGTTGGTTAGTTGTTGAGTGAGCATTGGATATTCCAACGGCCTGTTGGATAAGGTATTGGATGCAGGATATCAGATCACTAGGGGTTAGTCACTCAAAATTGTGGTGGATAGTAAGTGTACGTCGTTGGATGGTACATAACTGGGTGTTGGTAACTTCAACGGTGCGTTCGACGGTGAATGCTGGGTGTTAGTAGATGACTGGGTGTTTGGTCACTCCAACAGTTGTTGGATAGCAAGCGTTTATAATACTGACTTACTTCTTGTCGCCATAAGATCATTTAAGTAGTACGCATTATAAAATAAAAGACCGTTCCGGTGGCCTAATGGTTAGAGCGTCAGCCTCAAATGTGGGAGGTCGCGGGTTCGAACCCCGACCGAGCCATACCAAAGACATATAAAAAAGGTACTAGCGGCTGCCTCGGTAGGCACTCAGCATTAAGAGGTTAGTGTTATAGCTGGTTGGCCTGGCATCAGAATAATATGACTGTGTGGAACACCATACTACATGTCTGCGGCATGATGCCCCAGTGCTAGACATCGCACAAAGCTACGTTAACTCTCTCTCTCTCTCTCTCTCTCTCTCTCTCACACACACACACACACACACACACACACACTATTTTGAACCAAAAGGATTGATACTAAATTATCATTGTTGCCGTAAAGGCCAATTAAAAAATGGCCGAGTAATGCTAATTCCGACTGTCGATATAGATGTCTATAGTCCGATAAATCAACCCCTTTAATCTGTGCTGACACTGACGGACGATATGTAGGTTAGGTGCTACCCTTTTATTAAAATGTGCAATCTGCTGCATGCAAATCTCTCTGGAACACACATGTTTACATTTTAGGACACCGGCATTTGGTAACAACCATATCTAGCGCGAAATTGTTGTTGTTGTTGTTGTTGTTGGGCTTAACGCCATTTTTCAGCACACGATAGGCTATTCATGGCGGCCAGTATTATTGGTGGAGGAAGAAACCGGAAAATCACCGGAAAGAACTACCGACCCACGAGAAACTACTGGCAAGCTTTCTCACATATCCACTTTCGCCGAATCCTAGACTCGAACACACGCAGACATCAGAGTGAGATGGCAGTGATCCGTAACGGACAGCGCTTTAGACCACTCGGCCACTCGGGGGCCCCTCTAGCGCGAAATTCAAAATGGCCATAGGACAGACGTTTGTACTATTGCACATAAATTTTCAAGTCGACAAAACACATGATTTGTGACGGAAATAGATTTTACATGTTGGCAAAAGAATCCTTCAGCCGACAACAGTTCCGCAGAAGCGAAAAATATCGTCAAGTGCATAAAATATACACCAATGTGTGCAGACAAAATTATCAGCAGATATTTTGACGTTTTTCAATGAATAGGTAATATCATCCCACCAAACCGGCAGTCAGTTTTTATAATCATATGTGTGGGATGATTTATCGGCCTAAGAAGTCCATAGATAGCTATATCGCCCCCACCCACTTCTCCCTCGGACAAACAGGCAAGCATCTGTCAAAATATACATGTGAATCTCTGAATGAGATGATGCTTTAAGTAAAAAAAAATGAATCAATCAAGAGTCAGTAAATACAAACAATTATTTATGCAATCGAAATGTAAATGAAGAGTAAAAGGTGAAATGTAACGAGAGAGGAAGAAAATAATAGGAGGAATGATGGTGGTTTGGGAAGTGTGGCAAAAATATATTTGTCTGTTCTGTTATTTCAGGTAACCATTTAATGTTGTGTTCGTTACTGTAAGTAATGCTCCATTCACTCAAAAAACTTGTTTGAGCCAAGCTCTTTCTTTAATCTCAATTTTCTCACAAATAATTATCTTTTTGGCTGAAAATCATATCCTATGTAATGTTTCATGTTTTAAATATGTTTATATACACTTATATATATATATATATATATATATATATATATATATATATATATATATATATATATATATATATATATATATATATATATATATATATATATATATATAATCACCTATATCATTATAACTACTGTGTGTGTAGTTATGAATTGTGCAAATAATAGGTAATGTAAATTTTCAGTTACTAACATGATGAGAGGGAATTGCTTAAGTAATGCGATAGCTGGATACTTCAGGTGTCTTCTCAATTCTTTAATATGTTTGTGACACAATTAAGGGATATGTTTCTTCTCATTCGCAACTTTGATATCAATCCTACGGATCATACATATCATGAATGCAGCAGCGGATTTATATTAGGCTTAGGTGTGCTTAAGCACAAGGCCCCTGTTGGGCGGGGGGATCTTCTTGGCAACAAAAATATGATGAATATTTCATTGTAAGGGGCCTCATAACTTAACTAGCACAGAGCCTCAAATCCAAAACTGTATGTATGTCGATAAATGCTATTCGGACCACTTTGGCTATTTATGAAACTAGAATAGAATTGAGTGAGAATTTGCGATTGATCAAACCGTTTCATTAATAACATCTAGTACTACTATTATGATATGAATTGTCTGATGTTGTTTTTAGACGTTTCTATCATAACCTTCTTCTCGTGTCTAATTACGAGAAGGCAGGAAGTTCAGCATTCATAAGAATAAGGTGTCACATATGATGGTGTAGATTACATCTTTTGTGGGGAATGCTTGGCTGCGAAGAGGTGGGATCGCTGTAAGAAATAGACATGACACTCTTTTGAGCATGGAACCGCACTTTATTGACATATATATAGATACATATTCTAAATATACAACATGTAAATTTATTTATGTTGAAAATACATACAATACATATTACAATACTTATTAAATAGTTCTTCCACAATCTAGTATTTCATTTGTCCATTCATTTTTCTGTATTTTTGAATACAAGTGATTTAAATATTTAAAGAGCCTAAAATTCAATAACTGTAATAAATGTATTTTTATTTTATTTATTGTAAGGTAAAGACCTGAAAAAGATCTGTGAATGTTATACTTATTATTTAAAGAATATATATTTATTCTCAATTAAATTATAACATGAAACTAGTAATTATTTCAAACAAATACTAATGAACAGCGAAGCTGTAAAATATTTCGTTACATTATGATTGTGGAAGAAGGGAACTCAATAATATTATATTATAAATACAATGAACATCAATTCAGTAAAATATTAAATCAGTAAAATATTTCATAGTAGAAAAGAGAACTCACTATTACATTATATTAATGAAATAAAAAGAATTCAGAAGAATACCACAACTCACTATAAAATCTTTAACTTCCAAAAGCGAGTATAAAGCATAAGTTTCTTACCTGTAAAAAATAGACATGATACTCATTGAGAGCTTGGAATCGCACTGAGAATAAAACAGCTCAAAGCCTTTTTATATTCTGGAAGCTGCCTGATCACAAGTGCTACATCCAGTCTCAAAAGATGTTTGTCCAAAAATGACGCGTGCTTCTTGCGTACTTTCCAAGGACAGCTTTAACTTTATATCAAGTTTTAGTGGGGGGTGGGTAGAGTGTGAGTGTGGACGGTATTTTTCCAAGTAACGACCTTTTGGATCATGTCCATAACCTTCCCGTGGTCATTCACATTGTAAACCTAATTAATTTAATTATTCCCTAGGGTGATTATCAATTACATTGTTCCCAACATCACAACGAAATTTAATAAGATTTTATTGATTGAATGGTGCGATAAACATTATTTGGCTTCTATCCGATTGAACTATTGAACTGGCTTATTAATTAGGCTTTTTCCATTACCAAGTGAAAGCTGAACAATAATAAATGCTTAATCTAAATTCATTTCAATGTCCTTATTATATTCAGGATATGAATTATTGATTGGAGCACGCTTCTCCTACACTCCAATCAATATCAAAGCACTATCTTAAATTTGGATGTTTTTATCTTCCAATAACTAGAGATTTCAATATGTTGTACACAAATTAATATTTTCGTTTCTTTCTTTTAGAATTGATATCTTGATAAATACCTCTTGGTTAAATTAGCCGAGACCTCGAGGCTAGTAAAAAAAATTGATAAGTATGCGAGGTAGAAGAAAGAAAAAAATATTAAAAATAAAAAATTACAATGCTTAGGTTAATGAAAAAATTATAATGCATTGGTAAGTTGATAAATTGCAAAAAGGCAATGAGAACAATGTTCATTGCAGTACATATTGTGAAATTCAAAAAAGAATACAGTAAAATGTATAATTATCAATAAACTATAAGATACGTTGACAATGCACCAAAATAGATATGGTAAAAGATACATAGAAAAATGTACCATAAAATGTGTAATAAGGAGCCAATATAAATTGAAAAAGTGATGACAATTACACAAGGAAGTAAATATATGAAAAAGACCAAAATACAATGCACTGACAAAAGTTAAGAAATAGGAAAAACAGTTTCCGTGTAGTACTTCGATGAGGAATGAAGAAAAACAATATATTAAGAAAACATTAAAATATGCAATGTGACAGGATAATACGTAATGTGACATCTGTATGGTAAAGAAAGAGTTTATTCAAAGGAACCATACGAAAACACAATTGACACATTCAATGAAATTCAAGTACAATAGTGAGAATCTGCAATGAAAAAAAAATATGTTTCTTTTATATTATTATTATTTATGATTTATGTTGGTTTTTTTATATATTATGTTGGGGTTTTTTATACGTTAGTTTACTCTTTTTGTTATTATTTTATTATTATTTCTATTTTATTGTAAATAACTTCAGCAGAACATAATTAAAATTGCTGTGTAAGCGCTAGGTTATTTCCATTATATGTCATTGACCTAGGATCATGCGATCAATAGAACGGCATGTTCATAATATTGAAGTGATACTCCTTATGAATAGGATGTGAATTATGACTTCCCAATATATTATTTCATATATGAGACAACTAATATTTTAATTTAGGAGATATCTAAAATGTGTGTCATAATGCGGTATGATCTCTTGTAAAACAAGTAACTGTATAATGTTTATTCGTAATGCTTTCATTAAACTAGAATTAATTGATACGTCTTGAATGTCATCTGGACAACTGGGGTATGTAGCGCAGTATATACGTGTTACTATAAAATACATAAACAATGATGCGGATTCCTTGGCGTCCTGGAATAACATATGTAATCGATAGATACGATCGTTCAATTTGATTGATGAATTCCATTAAAACATGCTGTGAAATCAGAATAGCAAGTGAACTCGCCTGCTGAAAATTTCGCTGTATGACTAATTTGCTGAGTCTCAACCGTTTGAGCTGCATTCCTTTCTTCTATTGTCTAATATTCTGCACGATTATTTCGACAATAGCAAGCATCGCTTGCTCTAATAGTATAAGCGTTTTTGAGTGTGGACCAAT